AAGGATACATGGGGATCGCAAAAGTATTGGGGTCCACCTCAAGGATTGTTTTGTGATGACTCATACGCGGTCTTTTCATCCTCTGGGCCCGGCTGTAGGCGGCTTGCCGATAAAACATATGGGTAATTCCCAAAAATTATGGGCCCCTTTTGGGTACACATTATATTACGGCACCTAATATCTAGGGGTACCAAAAAGGGACCCTAATTTCGGGAACTACCCATATGGCATTTGAAGTTGAAGGCGCAGACTTTGCACTTTCCAGGCACCCATGCGCTGAACAAGCGACAGTTGATGCCTGGCATCAGCCTCGTCTTCTGCGGGGACTGGTACCCTAGGAGAGTCATCTTACGGCAGTCACGGGAGGAATGATGACTAAGGGTGCCCTAAGACCTTCTTTGGAGCCCCCCCTAGGCTTTCCTCAAACACTAAACTTTTCTGAGGACCCCCCACCCTGTAATAGCGGCATGATAAGAATAGAGGATACTATCACTTATAGCACTATTACAGGATGGGGGGTCCACCTAAACCCTAAACCCTAAACCCTATACTGTTACAGGGTGGGGGTCCACCTAAACTAGACTCTAGACTCCGCCAGTCTGATAGCACTGGGTTGCTGGACACCACTTGCTGAAGGGCCGCGCTGTGCTTACACAGCATCCCCCTTGAGAACCCCTATAGTATAGTATTGTAGGGTTTAAGGTCTAAACTCCTAGAATCCCCCTTGAGAACCCCTAGAATACTGCACTATAAAATCTCCTCTATAAACCCCTTTAAGGAGGTTAGACTATAGCTCCAGTATGGGGCTCCGACCAACCTTGTCTCGTGGAGGCTGCTGTACATGGCATGCCAACTGCACAAACTGCAAACATAGCTGGGACCCCTAAACCCAAAACCCTAAACCCCAAAACCCTAAACCCTAAACCCTGACATAGCTTTTCGGAACCAGGGGACGCTGGATGTCTCCAAATCAGGACACCCAAGGAAGGCGAAAAAAATGCAAAGCATCCACATATCCGAAAAGCTCCTTGCGAAGCACCCATAACCACTTCGTCTAAGTTGAGCCAGCTACCAGTTTCTTATGAGTGTGGACTGCAGACTGGAGACGGCAGTACATGCGGCTTTCTCATGACCAGGGTCTCCCAAATATAACTGAGCGTCCAAAAGCCCTGCAAGCCCGCAACTAGCGCGAGAACCCTAAACCCTGAACCCTAAGTTGTCACAAACCCTCGCGCCACTTTTGGCATTGCCTGGCAGACTGCGCACCCCACCAGCCTGTGTCAATTCTTGACTCCCGCAGCCAAGCCATGCCACACTGGAGCAATAATAGTAATAATTCTAATAGTGCTAAATAGTAATTATAGTAAAATAATGATGATAAGAATCATAAAAGTACCTAATGAGCCGATGTAGTAGTCAAGGGTTCAGAGACTGGACCAAGTAAGACTACCTTCTGCTAAAAATGCATCAGCGACAAGCTGAATAGAATCATCTTTCTCGGCATTAGGCAGGTTAGTATGCCCATGTTAAAATACTACTTCAATAGGGGGGCTTCTGGAAATCATTGGTTCTTTTTTAATTTTCAGATTCGGGGTACCCTATACCATATTTATAGAAGTACTCTAAGGCCATTACTGTTCCCAGTCACCAAAATTCTTCTGCCCATACCTTTCGCTTTGACACCCCCCAGCCACAAACCATTTGACCGCGTAACTGCGCAAAGCCTTGCCACGGCATGATTTGGCTGCAGAAATCCTGTACAGATCGCAGATTCCCCACTGAGCGGAGGTTCTTAACCACTTCATACTGATATCATACACCCCCTCACGCCCGGTACTAGATATTTTCCGCAATGTACAAAGTCTCACGCGTTTTTTTTCGTTGATTCTGGGGGTCCTGCTGTTGAGAAATAGCCCAACATTCTTTAGATGTTGTTACCAAAATCTTCCTATGCAATCCTGAAACAATGCTGGGAAACGCTGACTGCGAAAGAAAATCTCATGTGACGCTAACTTTGCGAACTACCTCATGGTATCCCAAAATATTTGGTCTAGCGGTACAACCTATCCCTTGACCCCAAAACCTCCAAGAGCCCTAGACCCTCCCCGATGCACAAGATCCTTTTGAGCCCCTGTATTCCATTTTCTCTTCCATTTGATTCACCATTATTGGTAAGGCTTCAGGCTTTTACTCTGCACGTGAAAACCCTACACCCCACACCGTCAACCCCAACCCTGCGGCCAAAACCCTACGTCGTAAACTCTAAAACCTACACCACAAACCCTACACCCTAAACCCTGCACCCAAAACCCTAAACCCTGCACCCAAAACCCTAAACCCTGCACCCAAAACCCTAAACCCTGCACCCAAAACCCTAAACCCTGCACCCAAAACCCTACACTCTAGTCCTAACCCCCTGAGGTGATCAGGACAGACCCTGGCGGAACAAGGAGAGGCGGCCACGCGCTCGCCTGCGCGTCAAGGGTACTGTTTGGGATTGGTAGCTCTTGGGGGTTTGGAGTGGGAGGTACAAGTTACTACTAATCCCTTCCTCATATTAATAAACCCCCCCCCATAATAAATAATAAATCCGGGAACCCAAAATTGCCT